CCTTGGTGCAGTACGGTAGTAGTGATAATACGAGGCATCTTCGACAGCCAACAAATTTACTGCTCGTCTGTACTTTTTCCCCAGTTTATTACTACGGTCTCTTTAGCGAGGCTAGATGGTTCTCTTTATCCTGATTATTGAACATATAATGCATTCCCTGGTATACGTGATCTTTCTATTGAAACTTCTCTCTTATTATTGTTATCTTATCCAGGGTGTGCACCCAACTACAGAAGATCCAATGGAGTCTTCAATCGCTACACTTGTTTCCATGGGTTTTGATCGTGGTTCTGCAATACGGGCTCTTGCACTGACAAATTATGATGTTAATTTGGCCTCAAACATTCTTCTTGAAGCACAATCCATGTAGAAAATTATCGTCCGGAGCAAAAGATTCTATGCCTCGTAAATTAAAGGATGTGAATCATTTCATTCTTACAAAAGCTCTAGGTTTTGAGAACATGTCACAAGATGTTATTGTGTAGCAAAGGAATTAGAAAGATGAAAAGAAAGAATCTACATATGTGCCAGTGTCCCCTCCATTCTGTCAAAAATTCTGCATGGTCATAATTTACAACCTGCAATTCCAGACTGAGAAAATCCGAAATGTCTTTGGCAAGCGTCCCAATTCAAAAAATGTCACTACAATATCTGGAAATACCAGCTTACAAGCGTCTTTGTTATAGAAATGCCATCGTCATTAGGTTTTCATTAGCAGCATACGTTAAGTGCTATAAAATGATCATTTTACCCCTATAAATTAACAGAAAAAGCAAAAGTTTTAATAAGCTTTTAACAATTCAATGGACTAAAATGATCTTTTTATAACACTTAATGGAAGGTTGCTAATAGAATTCTATTTCCTCCATCCCAAAACATAAGATATTTTAGGTGCATATGACATATATTAGGACGATAAATATGAACATTTTCTATCCAGATTCATAGTCCTAAAATATGTTACATCCGCATAAAATCCCTTATATTTTAGGATATATAGAGTAATAGCTTAGGGCCCCCTTTGAATCAAAGTATTTATGTAGGAATTTCATAGGATTCAAATCCTATAGGAAATTTTCATATTTGGCCCTTTGATTCAAAGGATTGAAGCTTTCTAAATCCTATGAAATTCTTATGGAATGGCACATTGCATGTAGATTTTGGAGGAAATTTAGCAAGAGCTCCAACCTCTTAGAAAATTTCCTTTGAGTCTATCTCTCTCATCCGATTCCTCCGTTTTTCCTGCGCTCCAATCAAATGACCATTCCTGCGTTTTTCCTATGTTTTGCAATCCTCTGTTTTACACTTCAATTCCTGTCAGAATCCTGTGTTTTTCCTATTCCTCCGTTTTTTCTACCCTGCGATTCAAAGGGGCCCTTAATAGAAGGGTGCTAATAGAAACATAATATTGATGATATTTTTAGGACAAAGGCGATTTACGATGAACATTTCTATCAAGTTGGGTTTATTGATGGTATTTTTTGAATTGGGACGCTTGTCGATAGTATTTTGTATATTATGTGCTTCCCTGCGTGCGCATACATGTCAAATCAGCATGATAAATGGTACTAATTGGTAATCCCCCAGCACGTGATGAAGCGAATGCTATTTATAGCTACTCCCTCCATTCTCAAATATAATATAAATATTTTTAAGATTTGAATTTTGTATTCAATATAAACAATTCTAGGACATTGATTTCAATGCATAGAAATCTAAGCGTTTTTAGCCAATTAGATGTTTATTAGGAGGTGATCAAAGCAATAGAGAATTTAACCAATAAGGCAACTGAGAAGTTTCATCTTTTAACCTTAATTTTTCCTAAACAACTTAGAACAGGTACAATAGCAGGCTATAAGCCAGCTGCAAACATATTTTAAGAAGATAAATAAGGAGAGAGAAGCAGCGGACTACAAATTTGTAGCCAGCTGTAACACGAATTCCAAGACGAAGTGTGTGTATAATAGGTGGGACCAGGTATTAATAGTGTAGTATGTAACTATTGTATGAATAAGCTATTATATTGGTTATAGGCGAATTGGAGCTAGTAGTTGATTATACTATTAAACTTACTCTTAGGAATGCTAATGCTTAATCCTATCTTACTATAAAGTTATCCCCCACTAACTTCTTAAGCTTAACATGCAAAGATAACACATCATCATTCACTAACAAAATGCCACATCATCATCCACTAATTAACAAGATGCCACATCATCATCCACTAACAATCATCACATTTAAACATCATGCAAACATGCTATATCTTTATAGTTTTTATAATTTAAGAGCTTTCAAATACAAACATGTTAAATTATCATCCAACATAATTCACATAATGTTTTAATGTATATCTTTATTATGTTTTATGATATCCTATATACTTATATAGTTCATCCTTACTTAGTTAGTGCTTAAATGATTAATCTATAGTCTAAATTATCTTTCTCCTTTTTTCCTCTAATTAAGTCATAGTACATCAATTGTTTTTAGCCTTTAGATGATTAATTTACGGTCCAAACTATCTCCCTACTTTTCTTCTTCCATAAAATCATACCACCTTATTTTTTATGTTTGAATCACCATTCTACATACTATTTAAATTTAAATTAGTATAAACCACATTAATTTACTTAATCTGATGTTATCTAGCTATCTTACACGTTATTTTTTTATTGTTATCATACTAAATTCCCGTAGCAATGGGGGGGGGGTTCCACCTAGTATTTAGGAATAGAGGTTGCACTACTGAACGGAGGACAAATTACTCAACCTAACCAATTGATGTTTCCTTTGGTTCCACATTACCCGAATCAGGATAGGAAAAGGGCATTAGAACTAGAATGTCTTTTGCCAGGAAAGTTGTTTTTAGAACCAGTCGATTATCATCTATCTATCTATCTATCTATTATATACTAAATGTCCATTAACTTTCTTATAAACGCTCTCAATCCGCCACGTGTCAGTCCTACAAACACTCCTAGACCGCCACATGGCACTGTATAATCTCACCGTCGATTTTCACTTAAATTGGTGGATCCGATATTTTAGACTATTGGATTAGATCTATTTTTCAAGAAAATAATCCCTTCCTCTGCTGTGGGCCAGAAAAAGAAAAAAAAAACTACGTACGTACGTGTGACTTCGTATAACCGTGGGCCAGAAAAAGAAAAAAAACATAAGAACGTAGTACGCTCTCCCTGTCTCTTCCTATTCCTATTCTTTTATATCTCCATCTCTCTCTCCTCCTAATTCTTTTATGTTATCAAATTAAAAACGAGTTAAGTTGACCATAATTTAAATGTACATAGCTAATTTATATTCTATTAAAACGTTGCTCTATTTATAATTAAATTGACAATTTTACATCCAATGTTTTGCTATATATAAGCAATTTGTTATTGTGGTATAGACTGTGCATTTTGCAAGTTTGCATGCCATCTAAATAAATTAAATACTTATTAACAAAATATATTATATATCTATCTATATATCTATCTATTATATACTAAAAGTCCATTAAACTTCCTACAAACACTCTTAATTTGCCACGTGAGACTCCTATATACACTCCTAAGCCACCACGTGATACTCTAATAAATTAGAAAAAATATATAACTTGAACTGGTGAGCCAATTGGATTTATCTCATAAAAAAAATCCTTCCTCAACTACTACCGTACGTTCTCATCTCCTTCCCCTCAATCCCTTCTCCTCGTCTCTTTCCTTTTTTCTGTGTGGTAGTTAAGATTTTTGTTTTATTACTTAATAATTAATTTCTTCACTTCTATCTCACCAGAATGGCTGTGGACTCTTGATTGCATGTCCCATGCCTAAATATGTAAATGATTAATGATTTGATGCATGCTTTTATAAATAACAAATCTATTTTTAACTAAAAATTTAGAAAAAAGATAATAGTTACATAGCAAAATAATCATAATTTTAAAAAGTTGCTCCCTCTATTTCATATTATAAGCCATTTTAACTTTTTTCTTAATTAAATTTCTTTAGATTTGACCAAATGTATAAAAAATTTTTAACAACATCTATCACACAAAATTGTTTTGTTAGATATAACGTTCCATATATATCCATAATATGTTTTGAAAATTTTACTATATTTTCTATAAACTTGATCAAACTTAAAAATTGACTAAAAAAAGTCAAAATGACTTATAATATGAAACGGGGCCAGTATATCTGTTTTTATTTAGTTTGTTTAGTTTGTTTGAACGGTTGTTTCATAATTAGACAGCTAAATAATTTAAAATCAGTATTACCAACATTTCACTATAAAAAATAAAATATGTTATTTGAACTGCCACCTATTCTTTACATGACAACCCAAATAACATCCTATTTTTAATTTATTTGAACTGTTGATTTATGTTACTCATATTTTACCATGTAAAATTTAATATACGTAATTTGAACATAGACCAACAAGCAAACAACACTGAAACATTAAAAAATTGACAACATGTATTATGTCATCTTAATCATTCTACATAATAAAAATTAGAAAAATACAAAGTCACCATGTATGACCTTTTAGAGACATGTTAAATTACCAAGTGTCACATTTTAAAAATTAGTGAAATCTTATATATTAAAAGAAAAAATAAAACATCTAGCTAACGGTTTTCACCTAGATCGATGACCTATTAACATTATATCACTACACACCCAATCCTTCCCGTCTCTGGCTCAAGCTCTTCACTTTTCATTCCTCTTACGTTCCTATTTAACTAAAATATAAATAATCTATAATTATAAGTTTCATGTCTGATTTCTAATCTAACTATTGCAATGTTTATAATCAAACCAACGATATAAGATCTATATGCCTATAGTTTACTATATAACAAATACAACATTTTAACACAATCGGCCTATTACTTACGATTATCTCAAATACAGCCTACGATACATGCCCACGCGAATGCGCGGGCTACCTTCCTAGTTCCTTGTAATTTGCAAATATTGCACACGAGGACCAACGCGGAAAGGTAAAATTCATCCGAAATATCAACAATCGCAGACCAGCATCAAGTAATACAGTACCCAAAAAGGTTCCCATAGCACAGACGAAAAAACAAAGCGAAGACATAGGAAGCGGGCGGTGGCGTACGAGGCGGTAATACGGTGATAATGTAAGACGGAAACACCAAGCACACAAAACCCTGCCCTAGAACCACCAAGCAAAAGCCACCTTACATGTCGTCAGCCTCCTGCTGCTCCTCGTCCTCGTACTCGCCCTCCTCATCGGCGGTGGCATCCTGGTACTGCTGGTACTCAGAGACAAGGTCGTTCATGTTGCTCTCTGCCTCGGTGAACTCCATCTCGTCCATGCCTTCGCCAGTGTACCAGTGCAAGAAAGCCTTCCTCCTGAACATAGCAGTGAACTGCTCGCTCACCCTCCGGAACATCTCCTGGATGGATGTTGAGTTGCCAATGAAGGTCGATGCCATGGAGAGGCCTCTCGGTGGAATGTCACAGACACTGGACTTCACATTGTTGGGGATCCACTCGACGAAGTAGGATGAGTTCTTGTTCTGGACATTGATCATCTGCTCATCAACCTCCTTGGTGCTCATCTTTCCACGGAACATGGCAGAGGCGGTGAGGTAACGGCCATGGCGAGGATCAGCAGCGCACATCATGTTCTTGGCATCCCACATCTGCTGTGTGAGCTCAGGAACAGTAAGGGCACGGTACTGCTGGGAGCCACGTGATGTCAGCGGGGCGAATCCGACCATGAAGAAGTGGAGACGGGGAAAGGGGATAAGGTTCACTGCCAGCTTACGGAGGTCAGAGTTCAACTGACCAGGGAACCTTAGGCAGCATGTGACTCCACTCATGGTGGCAGAAATCAAATGGTTCAAATCCCCAACTGCATAAAATGGCAAACATGTGGAAAATGTTATATGGCGCAATGGTTGAAAATTATGCGGGTATATGTTGATAACAAAAATATAACATGTCCAAACAAACAACAATATGACAAAGCAAATCACTAACTGGAGTCAACGCCTTTATGTTTAGCATGAATCCTGCTCTAAAAGTGTAGTTTTCATAATTATATACAGTTATACACACCAAACAGCAAGACTATGAATAAGTGTATTGTTAATTCTAGATTATAGTGCAAAAATAATGACGGATTGTTTAGCATGTAGTAGAGAAGCTGCTAGAACAAGAATGTGTATATCTGCATAGCCAAGTATATGCAAATAATGATTACAAACACACAAATGTTGCACCAGTTTGTATTCAGTAAAACTGGAAAAGTTGAAGCAGCTTACAGCTAGGTGTGGTCAGCTTGAGAGTCCTGAAGCAAATGTCGTAGAGAGCCTCATTATCAAGAACCATACACTCATCAGCATTCTCAACCAACTGATGGACTGAGAGTGTAGCATTGTATGGCTCAACCACAGTATCAGATACTTTTGGTGAGGGGAAAACTGAGAATGTCAGCATCATGCGGTCAGGGTACTCCTCCCTGATCTTTGATATCAAAAGTGTACCCATACCAGATCCAGTACCACCACCAAGAGAGTGGCATACTTGGAATCCTGATTATAGAGGTAGAGGGCTTTAGAAATGATTGCAACATAATATAATGAAGTATGGTTGCTCAGATGTAAAAAAATACAGTACATTCGTTGAGCAAAGTGCATTATAAGCACAAATTTCTTAAATAGGGTTAATCATATAATTGTTGCTGATCACTAGATTATCTAACATGGACATTTCACTGATAAAAGGCTTGTTGTGCAAAGTCTTTGGTTGACTAAATAATTTGAAGAACAGAATGCTGAATGTGCATACCCTAATGCATGGACTGTAAAATAGTGCTGAATATGTATTCATATGGCACACATGCTACCTTAGACAGAGGGACCTATCAGAATACACAACCATCTAAATATTGATATGATTTGCATCGGGGTACAAAATCAATGAATAACTGCATAGTAAAATGACAAGGAACCATGGATATAAATTCAATTGGGGCACTACACAATTTGCAAGGATAATCAATGTCCTTTGAACCAATAAAGAATAAGTCACAATAGCTCATCTGCAATATGTTTCATACTAACAAATAGATACACTACATTGGTACAACATTACTTATATGGTCTATGATGGCACTACCATGCATCATATTGCGAGATTCACAGCATGTTAAAGGATGAACCTCAAGTAAGCGTCTGCATCCTAATCAATTTAAAAAGAAATTATCTAGCAACTATCAGAAATTTAGTTACCAATTTACCTTGCAGGCAGTCACAGTTCTCAGCCTCCTTCCTCACAACATCTAAAACAGAATCAATTAGCTCGGCACCCTCAGTGTAGTGTCCCTTGGCCCAGTTGTTACCAGCACCAGATTGCCCGAACACAAAGTTGTCAGGGCGGAAGATCTGGCCATAGGGTCCAGTGCGGACACTGTCCATAGTACCAGGCTCAAGGTCCATGAGAACAGCACGAGGCACAAAGCGACCGCAGGAGGCCTCATTGTAGTACACATTGACACGCTCCAACTGCAGATCTGAGTTGCCTGTGTACCGCCCGGTAGGGTCAATGCCATGCTCATCACACACCACCTCCCAGAATTTGGCACCGATCTGGTTGCCACATTGCCCGCCTTGGATGTGCAGGATCTCTCTCATCTTTGCACTGCAAAGGGAAGTGGAACAACACTGGTGAGTGAATCACAGATATTGAGCTTACAACAAGCAATGCTAATGGCAGCTCAAGTACTCAAAGCACAAAGGAGGTGGTCGCACAGTATAATTTACTTAGCCGACAGATCTAAACATCCCATAAAAGCAGGAAAAGTAATCATTCATGTTGTGCTACTACTAGATAAGAAATGTCACTGAATTTCTTCACAGATCAAGTTGAGCAGAGCCAGATCTGGAGTTTCGTATGCTAAAATGGCTAAAACCTAGTGTCTTCACAGTTCAATCACCGATGGTCCATCTAAATGCATCATCATACACACCAGACCACCTAAAAATGGATCGGTATTCTGGCATCGGATTTATAGGCTAAAAGCTAAATACACTCGAAATGCCTCATAGTGAAGCAGAACTGCAGGAATAGCTTATACATATCCCAGTTGAAATCCCCCAAAATCAAAAGTCCACAAGTATCTTATTTCAAAAAAAAAAAAGAAAGTCCACAAGTATCTACATTATCCCAGCCCAGCCATCCACGAGATAGAGATGGCATAAAGCACTCGAAATTCTACAGATCCAGTGCGGCCTACCAACATTTTCACCAAACCAACCAAAACAAAACTACAAGGGGCTAAATTTCACGGGCTACGCAGTTCTACGGAACAATGAAATCGGCGAAAATCCCCGCGGATCCCAATACATTACCGGTTTCCTCGACCAAATATACCCTAAACATTCGAAAAACAAAATTTATGCCACCAAAATTCGCACCAAAACAACGGATCCGATCACAAACACATCTCGAAGACTCGAACCCAAACCTAACAGATCTACAATCCTCCGATACATCACGAGAGAGTCGAAGAGATTTTTCTTACGAGTTGTGATGATCCAACCACGCGATCCGATCGGCGGCGAGCGAGCGAGAGATCGAGGGGTGGGTGGAGAGGCCGGGGAGAGTGAGGCCGAACGGAGCGTGCATTAAATAGCCGTAGGCGGCGCAGCCAGCGGCTGGCATCCGACGGCCCACGTTTCCTCCCTCCAACCCATCCTGGGAACGGACGGCCCAGATCTCTCCCCCTTGAGTAATTTTCAAAACTCCCCCCGTTGCGGCGAACTGCCCAAACTGCCCCCCGGATATTTCGCTTCGCTGGCCCCCGCCTGTCGGTGTGCAACTGGCTCCAGCGCTGGCCGACCAACCACACCCACAACCCACTGACAGGTGGGGCACAACGCGTCGTTGCCCCCACATGTCAGTGAGGTGGGGGACGTGCGGTGCGGGGCGAGGTGGGCCAGAGCTGCGTTGCTGGTCTGGCCCCACGTGGGTTTGGGTTCAGATGCGGTGCGGCGTCGGGGTCATCATGGGTGGGTCGGGCACGAGCATTATTGGTGGGGTGGGGACGTGGGGTGCCTGGTTTGGTGCGAGGGCCAGTCCAAGGCGTCCACCTCACGGCTCGAGCTGGGAAACAGAAAGTGGGCCCGGGGGGACAGGGACATGTGACCTCTCTCGCCTCGCCCACCTCGCTCGGCTTTCTCGGGGACCGCACGTGTGGGGCACGTGCCCGCTGGCGTCACCCCTTCTATACTCTTCTTCTCTTCCTGCAACAACGGTACAAGCAGTGATGAGGAGGAAGGAGATCGGATCTAGTACTAGCTGCAGGAGTAGCAGCCTCACTTCTTGTTGCTTTCAAGCTGTTTACTTACGCTCCACTTTGCCGCTGTAACTGCAGTGTACGAGCTGGTGTGTGTTTCTCTCCGTTTCGTTTCGGGCCTGTTCACTTTGATGTCATTTTCAACCTTACTAAATTTTAGTAAAGTTGTTAAAAAAAAGTGGCTATATTTAGTTTACTGTCAAATTTTGGTAACTATATAAGAAATCCTGCCAAAATTTTAGTAAGTTGTCAAAATTTTGGTAATGTTAAAATTTGGTAAGGTTTTTTTTACATCAAAGTGAACATGCCCTTCTTTTTTGGAATGGACAGGATGTCGTTGTGGAGAATCTCTTTGCCAGCGGGGCGTAGGTTGAGATCAGATCGGTGGATCGATCGATAGGCAGATAAACGTTACTGTTGGGAATGGCTACTTGTAGGAGGAGTAATATATTGTTGATTCTATTGCGCAACAAACCGTGGAGCACACAGCACAGGGTGGCGTTGATGATTGCAATTGGCCAAAACAAATCTACGAAAATGTCCTCGCAACTAAGCGAGCAATTTGCTTTGATTAAGGTTCTCTCAACAAGAGGAAGAGACGGTTCTGGTACTTTGTCCAATCATTTTGTGTCTTGTAGGTGATCCATTCTTTCTTTCTTTTCCTTTTTTGTCTTCGTTGCTACTCATGTTAGAGTTTGGAAAAAGGCCGGCCCAAGATCTGTACTACAAGGCCCAATGTGACAAAGCCCGCCAATGACGTTTCCCGCCTGGCTGCGGGGGCCCACGCGTCATCCACCGCGGCGGCTTGCGCCGCACGTTCCACACGCATATCCGCACCCAACTCCACTCGCACGTGCCCGTCGTCCCCCTCCCCTCTCCACTCCAACTTGAGCTCTAGCTCTCGCACTCGCAAGCAAGGGAAAGCGAGGCGGAAGGAAGCTATCGCCTAGCAGCGGAGACCGGGAGATCGAGATGTCGGCGGGGCTCGTGACGGAGGAGGTGATGGTGGGGCGGCTGGTGCGGATCCGGCGGACGGTGATGCAGATGCTGCGGGACAGAGGGTACCTGGTGGTGGAGCACGAGCTCGCCATGGGCCGCCGCGACTTCCTCCGCAAGTACGGCGAGTCCTTCCACCGCGAGGACCTCCTCATCAACAAGTACAAGAAGAACGATCCCTCCGACCAGGTGAGCCATATGCATCCTCACCCCCACTTCGCCCGATCGATCCATCCATCCGCAAGCTAGCTACGCAAGATCGATCAAGCCCAGCAGCTAGCTCTCTCTGTTTTTCTTGTGGATCGATCGGGGAATTCGGGATCGGCCGGCATCCCTTCCCTCCTGCGTTGATCGACTTCTTAGATTCGGATTGGTAGCTGGCTCGATTAGTCGATTGTGTGTGTGTGTGTTTTTTTTTTTTTTTTTTTGCACGTGGTGGATCGGCTCGAGTTCGCATCTGCAGTCAATCGAGCGTTGACCATTGTGGCAGACGAATTACTTGTGTATCCGTACGCGGTTGCTGCTTGTAAGCTTCCCTGCTACTCTTTGTCAAGCTCGTCTCCCGGTAATAGCTAGTACATGCTTAGCAATCACTAGCCAGTGAAGAAGAAAAGTTTTGATTGTTCTTGGCAGCGTCTTGTGAAACTGCTTGAAGCGTGCCGCGTCAACGCAGCTAGCAATACCGATCGCTGCAATGCTGAATTGCTTGCTGTTTTCTAGTAGGATGAAAGAGTGACACTTCGTGTTGCCAAAGTTGAACTGTCACCTGTATATATAGCTCAGTGACAGAGTCTCTGTCTCTCTGAACTCAAACCATAGAAGACTGCAGAACTTCATGTGGCGATACTGCGGAGTGGTTGCTACTTCGCTATTCCTTTTCGACAGGTTATGACTTACCGCTTAAGTAGTTATTTTTTCTTTTCGGAATCAGATATACGTTTTCTTCCCTAACGATGACAAGGTGGGAATGAAACACATAAAGAAGTACGTCGAGATGATGAAAGCTGAGAACGTCTCCAGAGCGGTATTGGTTCTTCAACAGAACCTCACTCCATTTGCAAGGTCATTTCTTCAAGAATTAGAGCCAAAGATCCACTTGGAAATTTTCCAGGTTAGTCCTGAACAACAAGAAGCTATTGCCTCTATTCAGTTCAACAATCCTATTCTTTTTTCCCCAATGAGCACTGGCATTTCACCTAAATGGCTACATGATATGCTGCCTATATTCTGTTTTTTTTTAGGAAGCCGAATTGCTTATAAATATCAAGGAACATGTTCTCGTTCCTGAACATCAAGTGCTTAACAATGAGGAAAAGAAGACATTATTGGAGCGGTACACTCTAAAGGAAACTCAGGTATTGCCACTTGTGGACTTGCAACTTTATAATATGCTTTTGGTATCAGAGGAACCAACCATTTACGTGCTTTCCTAACATAGCAATTTCGGGGACAAAAAAAAGGAGTTTTTTGTAACCACTAAAGTTTTTATACATTTATTTGTAAAGAAAATGATAGATTTGACCTCAACCATTTCATGTAGACAATTGCTGACTTCTTTGTTAATTTTCGGCTCCATTAACTGCAATATGTTGCCCTATGGCCATTGCATTTATAGTGGATGTTACTGCATTTTTTAGATAACGGAAGTGATGGATATTATTACCTGATCAGGTAGGCATATTTTTTTCATTTCATTTTTTGGGACAAAACTGAATGTCTTTTGTACTTGTAAGATAATAAAGATTACAATTTAGATTAGCGCAATGCTTTTACTCTGTTTTATAGGAATTCGAATCAATAGCAATGTGTAGGGATAAATACATATAGGAAAAATCACATAACACTAAATAGGCATAAATACATATGAAGTCAGAAAAGGATCTTTCCATAACACATTTCTGTCCTCTTTCTACATTTTTTCTCTAAAGAAAGCTGATCCATGCCCATTGGAAAGGTGCAAGAACAATAGTCCATTAACTTTGCCTAGTAACCGGTACATCCATTGGTCCATAGTATTTTCTTGGTTCTTTTAACTTGCATGCATGGTGCGCTCTGCATTTGTCAGTATGTTGCTAGCAATACGCAGTATTAATAGTATGTAACTAATTTCTTTTCTGAATGTGATGGGACAAATAGCTTCCAAGAATACAAATTACGGACCCTATTGCAAGGTACTATGGCCTCAGACGAGGACAGGTTGTGAAGATCATCAGGCCCAGCGAGACAGCCGGCAGATATGTTACATATCGTTATGTTGTATAATAGCAGAAAAATGAGATGGAGAGCACCATAAATCTGGTGATTTTTGCAGGTATACATACATGACCATATGCTTGGAGAAATCATATTTCTAAGGAGAAGCCATGTTAATGATCCCATGGCTGTTATGTAAGTGAATTCTCGTGAGTTAAGCATATGGACCATACATAATTCCTCATGTTGTACACTTTGTTTCAAGAACTGTATAAACAGTACAGAATAAAAACACCAGTTTTCAGAGGCTCAGAGTTTTTCAAATGGAATAGTTTCTTCTTTTTCCAATGAATTCTAGTTATACGTTCGTCGAGATATTTGTACACTATGGCAAAGGCACTAAAAAAGAGGTTTCTAGAGAGAATTATATGCTATATATGATTTCCTTTAGAAGATTGAAAATAGAGATCAACACTGTATTTTGTCCATGTACAGTTTTTGCGAATAATAAAGCAAACGCATATACATCTCGTTGACTCGTCGCCTTACAGAAAAGATTTCTCTCTTCCGAAGATCGCAAGGCATGCTCCTAGTGGTTGTAAATGATGTTTAAGGTTGCTGAGACACCATAGTCTAGAACAAAATTGTTTAACTGCTGCCATTGATGATTACTTTAGCTCTGGCCTTTTCATTATTTGGGATAAAATGAAACCGGCTCATTAGTTGAAAAGAACTTGCAGGAATAAGTGGGTTTAAGTGCTGGCTCCATTACAAGCGTCTTCACTTGTTTGTGGGTCACGCTTAGTATTAACATTTGAATTATTTGACTGAAAATGGATTTTATTAGCTTCATAGGCTGATAGGCATCGCGCGATGTCAATAACTAAACCTTTTGCCGTTCGTAGAATGGAAGCGTTGCTTGTCTACATCTAATATTCCTAATGAATGCGTGGTTTGTGGTTCAAGCAGACAACTCAATACGCTAGGACAGGGATAACCTCCTAGTATATCTCATCAATATCATCTTCATCATTCATATATGGTGCTTCATTTCATTTTCATGTCACAGTGTCGGAAATCTGAATTACCTATCTCATATTCAACTTGCCATAGCACCAAATATGTCTACCTATGGCAAGTACTGCATGGAGGCTGGACTTGTCCCTTAGCTTGATGCAGCCAATTCTGGAGCTGGACAGACAACTGAATTCCAGTAGAGACCACAGAGGGACCATTTATGCCTAACAGACAGTAGTAGCAGCTAAGAACAACTTTCAGAGTACACAAAGGCTACAACTTTCAGAGTACTAGTGCTAAACACTACGCGTTTATCTGAAGATTGAGTATTACACAATAAGCTTGTACTGGCAATTGCAGCATTCTTAATGATCACTCGGTGGATCCAATAGTAGGCATCATTGGCCACCAACCCAAGCTAACATAATCAATGGAAAAGTGAAAAAGGAGAGGAAAAAAGAGCATAATTTAAGATGTCGAATAGATTTATTCCCATAGTGTCCTGCTTATTCTATACCGTCTTCTCAAGTGGAGACGATGGAGACTGAATTTTTGCATAAAATTAACAAGTCAGAATGCACACAGAAAAAAAAAGCCGGAAAAAATGATTCTCCAAGGCATAAAATCAACAGAGAATTGACCACTCATGCTCTCCCGTCTTCGTCCTAATCCTCTCTTCAGCATCTGGATCAATAATTCGTTCGTTCCTGACCGAATCAATTAGTGTCCTCTACAACTGCAACCCAATCAACACCTTTTCTATTTGGGCAACGCTCCGGTGCCCTCTACTCGTAGTATTATACTACCAGTAGAATTAATCTGAACCGTTTATTATTAAGGATAAGTTGGTAATTTTAATAAATCAGTTTAGGGGTAAATTTGACATTTATATTTTTTTTTACTGTCTCGGTCAGTGTAAGGGTTGGTTGTATCGTTGATATTCCAGCCGGCGGCGAGGTTGACGGAGGCGGCGGACGAGGCAAGGGCGATGATGGCGGCAAGTGTGAAGGAAGGGAGGAGACGTGCGGTGTCGGCTCCAGATTCGATTTGGGAGCCTTGCATCCATCTTTGGCTGAGTACCGAACGAATGAGAGAGAGGCTAGGGTTACTGCATAATTACAATTATACCTCTCCACAAATATTTTTTCCTAGACAATATTACCCTTCCACGATTCTACTACCGTTATATGAGGTGGTAGTAGAAATAGATCTAAACCCTTGGATCCTTTGAGATCAACGGTTTAGATTATTTTCTACTTCCAGTAGAAAGCATCGGAGTGAAGGTTTTTCTATTTCCCCCTTTCTGATGAGCACTTAACCCTGGCCAAAACTTGTGACGCTGACAAGCCAACACGCACACATGCTGTCCCGTTGTCCGTTAGTTAGAGAGAGAGAGAGAGAGAGACGAATCAGACGATGGTCATCAGCTATCCATCAGGCACACTTGGATACGCAGATTGATTGGCTCAAATTATGCTGTCTCTCGCATCCGTGTCCGTGACCGAAACAAACCATCCAGCAAGATGTTGACGAGGCCCAGAAAATCGGATCGGATAGGAGGCGTAGCAGTGCTAAAACAGAAAGGGGGCTAAACACACAAGTGAAAGACTGATCTGATCATCCGAGTCGGATACTGTGCCTCGCTCTCCCTAATCGGTCACTGTCCTGGCGGTTGAATGGATCGCCCTAGCCGGATCAACTGGCCAGTTTGGTGAGCCATTTATTACCGGTCTTTAAAGGTTCGTTTCTGAACAGCGATTTGGATCGTCCTCTTAGAGCAAGTTTGGCTCCAATTCAACTGTAGCTAATCCAATAGCTCATTCATATAATAGTTGTATACTACACTATTAATATCTGGTCCCATTTGTCATACACACACTGTGTCTTGGAGTCCGTGTTACAGCTGGCTACAAATCTGTAGCCCGCTGCTCCTCTCTCTTTTTATTTATCTCCTTAAAATATGTTTGCAGCTGGCTTATAGCCTCCTATTATACCTGCTCTTAGAGAAGGTTAATAGTATAGCCAACTACTACCTCCAATTTATTTATAGCTAATCTAATAGTCAATTCATATAATAATTGCTTACTATACTATTAAGTATATGGTCCCACCTGTCATACACGCTTTGCGTCTTGAAGTCCGTGCTGCAGCTGGCTACAGATCTGTAACCCGTTGCTCTTCTCTCTCATCTTTTATCTCATTAAAATATTTTTGTAGCTGGCTAATAGTTTGCTATTGTACCTGCTCTTAGGGTGTGTTTAGGTCACGCTAAAATTGGAAGTTTTGTTGAAATTGGAACGATGTGATGAAAAAGTTAAAAGTTTATGTGTGTAGAAAAGTTTTGATGTGAAGAAAAAATTAGAAGAAAAAACTAAACAAGGTCTTACCGTAAAAGCCAGGACCGTTTTCATGCTATAATTGTTACTGTTAATTGAGGTGGGAAATACCAGGTGACAAAAAAGATAAAAGGACCGTTTCATACTGTTAGTAGTGGACAATTAGCTAGTAGTACTACTACAGCTAAAGCACGCTGCTTTTCTTTTTTTTTCATTATTCTAACTTATATCTCGTTTTTCACGTACACGTTTTTTCAATCTGCTAAATGATACATATTTTTTAAAAAATTCTATACGAAAGTTGTTTTAAAAAAAATTATATTAATCTATTTTTTTTAAAAAATTAGCTAATACCAAGTTAGTCATGTGTTAATTTATATATCAATTTACGTGCGGGAGAGGAGGGCTTCCTCCGGAACACAGCCTAACACACAGAAAAAAAGGAAAGAAAAACTAAAGGACGGGTTCATACTTCATACTGTTGCTATTAGCAGCGACTATCAAAAATGGAAAATAAAAATACACTAAACGCGACCAAAACGTGTCGATGTCTCGATGCATTAGCCACAAGCGAACTCGCCGCCGTCGCCGCCCTGCACCGGCCAGGCGCGAAGTCTCCAGCAAAATAAAAAAAAACAAAAGAAAAAGAAAAAGAGAGGAAAAAAAAAGTCTCCAGCTACTTGCTTTGCTTTACTCTCTCATCAACTTTTTTTTTTCTTCTTCTTCTTCTTCATTCCAAAACCACCTCGCGTGGCCTCCTCCGTCCCCTCGCCGGCAGTAGCCTCCTCCTCCGTTCATCCACCACAGGCGACCGCCCGGCCGCCAGCCTGCCGCCTCGAAGCCTAGGAGGTTCTCTCGTGCGCGCCCCCCCTCCGCTCCGCCGGTTCGTTCTGGTGGAGTGGACTTGGCGTGGCGGTGGAGTGGGGGGATCCATCGGGGGCTTGCAGTGATTCCCTTCTTCCTTCGGCTTTCCTAGCGCCTCCGCCGGCCTAGCCGACCGCCTCGAGAGCCGCCGCACACCTCCGCTTCGCGCCGCCGGCCCCCGCAAGGAGCCCCCGCACCGCCGACCTCGGGAACCCGCCGCCTCGCGCACCTGGGTGGTAAGGAATCCCTAGGCTGTTTGAATTTTTGTTCTTTTCTTTTACCTGGTGGGTGGTGTGTTTCTTCGTTTCTGCGAGCAGTCCAGTTCGTTGTGGGTGGATCTGCACCCTGCTAATTAATCCAACTCATCCTTTTTTTTGTGTGTATGTGAATCTATTACACCCAACTGAACCACCACCATGTCCCTCGTTTATAGACTACCTCTGATACATGAGTGTGGTTTAGTTATGGTTAGTTTGAATCGATGCTCTATACTACTGTTTTAGCAATTTGGCTTTGCTACTGTTTCACAAAATTTCATGGCTAAAGTTGTTGGGATGGGCTTGTGAAATCCGAGGCGTACCAAATAAAAATCTGCGTGAATTTAAATGATTTTTGGATTTGAAAAGGTAGACCTTTGACTCATCTTGTTTTTTTATGGCCATGACTTGTATGAACTATAAGTTTGATTGCAGAACTCACATATGCAAACACCATTGTAGTTTTGTCGAACACTAAAAATAGATGTTCTTGGTCAAGTTAGGATTGGAGTACTTCAAATGACAAGGGTCATCCATGACTCTGGAGAAGGCATGCAGAAGGAGGCACTTGCTATGGTATCTTCTGATGTTAACTTCCCCAAGGGCCATTTTCCAGACTACAAGATTGGGCCAAACAACCAAATCATTGATCCAGAAGAGATACATGAGGCTGTACCTTTGAAGGAGATCGTTGCGAAGGAAACAGCACAGCTGCTAGAGCAGCGAAGGCGGCTTTCAGTGCGTGACCTGAAGGAGAAGTTTGAGAAGGGTCTATCAGGTGCCTCAAAACTGTCTGAAGAGGTATTTTACTCAGTTCTGTACTTCACTTTGCCTTTATTAATTCTTACCAATAATATGTAGTAGCAGTTTAATCCAACGTCCAAAATTCCTGCGATTGTCTTCAACAAGTTTTACTGTATACATCAAGTGCCAATTAATATATCCTCATAATGTTTTATACAGATTTACAACTAGATAGAGAAAACTATTGATTTTTATTGAGTCACAATAATGGACAGAATCAGTCTATGTTCAGCATTATCTGTTAGCTTTCTGAAATTCCTGCCACCTTTGCTCAGTTGCTTCCACCAGACCATTTCTTTTTTCAAAGCAGGCAGGTGCATTGCCAATCAGTTAAAGAGAAATAAACTACTAAGGCTTATCAATCCATTTCCCAAAACAGTAAATTGCTTAGAAGGTGTTGAATGACAGGGGAAGATATAAGAGGTGTTTCCATGGCGTGTGGCCCATAATTAACGTCTTTCCTTGCCTACTAGAAACTTTTTATTCTAACTAGGCACATTCTACTTCATGTAACTCCTTTTGCAATGAAATTTCATGTTGGGACTACTTGTTTCACATTTCAGGCTAAGCGCCGAGAAGCAGCTTCGTTGGACAGGCAGGTTCTTCTGAAGAAGCTTAGAGATGTTTTAGACACTCTGAAAGGCCGTGTGGCTGGTAGAAATAGAGACGATGCTGATGAAGCTATTTCACTGGTTAAACTCTCTAACTTGACTTCTGGGAGAACTTTCTTAAACCGTTGCGCTTGTTGTTAATTATTAGACCTAAAAGAGCCAAATTGATTTTTTTTCCTGAATGCCCTTGAAAAAACATATGAAAAAGTTTAGTAAAGCTTGGAAACATTTATTTGCAGTACCTGAAAATCTTGCCAAGTGCCAACATTACTAGTTCACTGCAGTTATCTGTGTTTACACTGTAAACATTACATTGAACTCCTGCAAATGACCTAAATTTGGAAGTAGCTTAATGTAATGTTCCAAAGGGAAGTGATCTTTTGAATATTGGTTTTTATATTTCTTATTATAGTGTATAATCCCATGGAAGTTACTCATTCTCTTCCTGTCTTCCAGTTGTGCGGAGCTTTAACAGTTTTGTCCTTTGTCAACACTACTTTAGTTTGGAAAACATGATGTGATTATGACGAATTGTGCACTATCAGGTGGAAGCATTAGCAGTCCAGCTGACCCAAAGAGAAGGGGAGTTAATATATGAAAAGGCTGAAGTAAAGAAGTTAGCTAGCTTCCTCAAGCAGGTATTCTTAATGATCTAATTAGCTATCTGTGACCTAGTTAGATTGTGTAATGTACCAAACCTGGAAGCCTGAAAGCCAATATGACATGTCCGGCCTCATAAAGATAAATACTATTCTTTTCCTTATAATATCGCCACATTAAATGGTCAAGGGTGGATATGATATTTGTCTTAACTGTTAATGTGTGTATCAAGTTAAAAGTATGGTTCCATTGTTTGGTTAGTAATAATGCTACTGTTTTCTTCTGTGTCTTAGGCTACTGAAGATGCCCGGAAGGTGGCAGAGGAGGAAAGGGCTCTTGCATTAGCGGAAATTGAGAAGGCCAGAACTGCAATTGCTATAGTCGAGAAAGGATTGCAGGAGCATGATGCAGCATCAAGTAGCAGGGAAAAGGAGGTGCTTTCTCAATATTAACGAACATGGATATTTCTGTATCCTTTTTGTGAACTTGTTTTGTAGTAAATTTCATGTACCGTGCTCCTGAGTGATTCACATTCTGACAAGTGACTATTGTATGATTGTTACCCTTGTGCTTTGAGTTGCTGCCACATTTATTGTGTACCTTTTTTTCCTGGCCAGGAGATAGAGGGACTCAGGAAAGAGGTCCGTGAGGCTAGAAGAATAAAAATGCTACACCAGCCAAGCAAGGTTTGTTTCACTATCAATTCTCATGTTTAATTTATGGAATAGCAGTTTCTTTTTTGTGTATTTCTCTAGATCTTTAATGTTAATTAACCCTTTTCTTCTCTTTCCTCCAGTGAGTTCAAATAGAGACCGTCTTCCTCAATGTCTTAAGTTCTATAAAAATTTCATGCCCTTTCTTATGCTATGTTATTTGATTTTTTTTTAACACTTTTTTTTAAAAAAATAAATCTGCAGTGTCTATTCTTTCATAAAGCTAGTAATGAAATAGAGCAGCTCATGGTGATTTGCTTATATTCACATACCCTGATTAATAATGGCCATGAAAAAAACATCACAGGTAATGGACATGGAATTTGAGCTTAAGGCACTGCGAACTCTCATTGCAGAGAAAAATCAGCTTTGCAATCAGCTAATGAAAGAGGTAATTCTTTTGACATGGTTTGTATTATTTGTGTTTTCTTGTTTTTAGTGTTGTTGAGTTATAGCCATCCTTTTTCTTTTCATGTCCAGCTTGCAATGATCAAGAGGCTAGAAGAAGATAGCTCTGACCTCTATGATCTTGAAGGTTCTGATATCCTTGGATCACAGTTTTGTATTATCCCTCGATTTGATGATGCTCCAGACATCAGCAGCTGTCCAACTCAATGGTACCGTGTAATTTCTGGAGGCAATAGAAATCTTATATTGGGTATGTTATCAGATCAACATTACATGGAGCTAGTGGGTTCTCCTAAATCCATTTTAATATCATTCATTTGCAAAGCAATCATTGCAGTAATATCTTTTTGCTTATTATGCAGTCATGTAAAAACTGTACATCATTGTTTTCTTCTCACTTATTACCATATACTAAAGATGTTGAGATCGCTTTCTGCAGGAGCAACAAAACCTACATATGCTCCAGAACCATTTGATGTTGGCCGACTGTTACAGGCAGAGATAGTTTTAAATGCAGAGAAAGTTACGATACAAACAATGGGACCTATAAATCCTGGTTAGGCCTTCCCACTGCTCTCTTAAAATTTCTAATGGTGATCCTATTTATTTTATCAGGTAGATTGATATGCACAGTTGCGTTTCTTTCAGAAGTATTTAAACTGTCCATTTCTCTTGCAATATTTTCTGTAGCTTATTTCACATTTCTTTTTTGTCTACATGTTCTTGATATTTGTTTCGAACTTTGGAAGTTAAAAGTAGAACTAAGCTTAATGCCATAGTATGGAGTATCTATTTTCATATATTGTGGCATAATACTTTAATTGCTTAACTGTGTAAGTAATGCATGGTTTATCCTATCATATCATATGGATTAGCCCCATGATGCATTCTGCCATATGGCACATGCTTTCTCAGGGCAAAAGCCCCCGTTTTTTTTTTCTACAATAGAAGTGCAGCAGGACATTCGATTTTCCCTCCTTTTTCAAATACACATCTTTAGAGCACTCAAATTGTGTTCCCAAATACCTCATTCTACAGTTTTGAGATGACCTTTTATCATCTTTTTTTGTGGTATATCCATCCATCCCTTTACCTATTTCCAGTGTTGTTTATAATTATGGACTAGAGCACACACACCATCCGAAAAACAATGAGATATCAGATATATTAAGGAATTGAGGGAATACAAGCTCGTGGTTTCACCAAAGTTGCACTTAAATAGCTGACTTTGACATACTTTTTGAACAGCTGCCGGACTGGAACATTATGTGGAGTCTCTAATGAAAAGAGCAGATGTGGAGTTTAATGTATGGATTCTTCTCCTGTGTCTTATACTAATTTAAGAAGCCACCTCTCTAATTTTGCTAAATCCACAATCACCATTTTTATTTGGATGTGGGGGATCTTGGCACAATGTCCAAACTCCAATCAGCCCCCCCTCCCCCCCACCCACCCAAAGTACTTAAGACTGAAGTGAAACTGCAGCCTGAGTTTGATTGTAGTTGACATGAATATTGTCAAGCTTTGAATTTGTTATTTGTGGAAAAATCAGTGTGGTTTGCTTCCGTGTTTCCTTGTAGGTGGTTGTCACCCAAATGAATGGGAATGATTACTCATCGAACTCTGTCCATGCATTTCATATCGGAAAAATGAGAATAAAGCTTCGAAAAGGATGGTCTACAAAAGCAAGAGAGTCATACTCGACCACAATGAAGGTACGCGTGTAGTTTAAATACTGTTCATTTCTCAACTATGTTGTGTTCTTTGAACTGCTGTTTGATGTTATACAGTCCTCCTTAAAATATGTCTACACTTTTTCTTGTTTATTCTATAAGAATATTGAGAATATTGGTTTCCCCTCTAGAGCTTCCAATCGTATTTTTAGAACAAGCAAGGGTTCCAATATTCCATATCTCATGGTCCTGATTGGGCTAAGGACCCTAAGGCCTTATTGAGGTGTCCCTGGACCAGGTCATTTAATGGTGCCATAGTTGTTACCACAAGGGCGTCAAAATATAGACTAAGCCATTGAGGCGTATGCACTTCAGTTGAGTTTTCTACACATTTGGATATACCAGCTATCACTAAAGAAATTAGGAATATGAAACTTTCAGGAACAACAAAAATAGAAAAGAAGTTTGCAGAATTTATCCAATCTTGTTCTCAGGGCTCTGTTTTTTTATGGTGCATGCTATGAATCACATCTTTTTTCATGAAAAGATGTGCATAGCCGCATAGGATTTTGTTAGACTTGCTGAAGCTGATAGAGAACAAAAACATTCCAATCCAAGCATTTCTGCAAGTCTGCATTCTAAGAGTATTTTTTTGTAACTTATGTTTTCCATGGTCAATCTTCAGTTGTGTGGGAGCCGTGGTGGGGGTAATGCTGCAGCTACGGCAGTTTTCTGGCAGGCAAGGAAAGGCCTGTCCTACACCTTAGCTTTTGAAACGGACAGGGATAGGAACGCAGCAATCATGCTTGCTCGTAAATTTGCCTCAAATTGCAATGTAAGTGCTTTTGCCTTAAAATTGCATTTTGTTTCTAACGATAATGTGGTCAAGAATCCGTTTCATTCACTTGATGTTAGGAAGCAAGTTATTTTATACCCTTTTGTTTGCTCAATGCAGATTACGCTCACTGGTCCAGGTGATGAAGTTCATGCTGGTAGCTGAATTTACAGTGTTCACGGTGTGACAGCAGGAGTATACATGTAGGCTGTGAATTGTGTACTGTGTCAGTTTGTGTTTTCGAGAGTAGAGGTTGTACACTAGGCTTTCCTCTTTCAGCATACATTCTCAAGGCAATTCTTTTTATTTGCCTGCCAGCAGCTGTTTGTGGTGTTCGTCAAACATGCTGTGCAAAATGATGATTATTCTTGAGCATTATATCTATTAACGTTCGAAAAGTGATAGTTTGCTTAGAAGGAGCTTCCCTTGAATAATCAAGAAATGTACATATAATCACTTCCATCTATGGTGCGTAACTGGTCGCACGAAGTCAGTGGTGATTGTGTTGTATTCAAAGGATCAACTATTGTGTTATCTGGCAAGTGATTTTAATAGGGCGTTTTGCCACAGTAATTCTTCTAATGGAGTCATTTGTTTGCCTCATGGAGAATTCACCCCTACTGAAAACCTTGTCCTGTTGAACTAATGCTGTATATGAGGCATTCTGATAAACCCCTGTAAAATCGTCCTAATTTCCAGTTTGACCGTTTTATTCTGTTCACCCACATTTTCAGTAGTACTACGGCATAGGAGTATGCACTAATGTACTCCGTATCCTCCCCGAGACGTCTGTCCACTGTCATAGTCACATGCAAGTCAATTCAAGTCTTGAGATACACTAATCTTCAATCCAAAGCTAGCTGTACTGGCCTTTTGTCAGTGCACAATTTGGACCACATGGACCACATATTCACATGCCTCTCTCAAGCTCTCAGCAAAATTCTCAGCAGTGTACAGTATACTCTTGTATGCGGTGTACTTCCTCGTGGGTGTAAATAAGGCTTTTGCTTAATTCCATCAGAAATTGCTGCTCCACTCTTCTCGCTCAAAGTGTTCTCTCTTTTATTTTGGAGATGCTTTTCTTGCCCAAAGTTGAGCTCAAGCTCACTTTCATCTCCTGGGAAGTTTGCACAGTGCCCTGTATGACACATGCTCGCTCAAATCAACCTTTTTCTCTTATGATTTTTCATCGTCAGTAAATTCCAAGCAGGTCTGTATATGTTAATAAAAAGAAAACTCGAATGAAAATGAAACTTCCAGCCTACTACGTACGAGTACATAGTATTGTGTTGTTAATGGCAACTCCACTAAAATGGAAGGCTTTTCCAGCTCGATGGCTCAATCCATACCCATACCTACACCCAACGGCTAGTTTCGCGTGGCAGCCGCGGCCAATCATAGCCGTCCGATGCTCCGCTTCCTGACCGTTGCGATTCGAAGCCCTCCCGACCGTTGGAGCGGCCGCTCCCCCTCCGCTCCACGTAAAAAAGGCAACGCCACCCGACACAGAGGACGCGCCCTGCCCTAGCTCGCTATATCTCGCCCCTCCTCCACGCGCCGCCTCCAAGAACTGTATACCACCACGCATCAATCACACGCCGCACGCCGACGCCGATTGGTTGATTTGATTGATTGATTGGGCAAGAGGAGGAGGAGGAAGGGGATTGTTTGCTGCTGCTGCTGCTCCAGAGCTCGCCGGAGCCGCGGTGGCTGCAGCGCTCGACGGCGGGGAAGAGGGGTCGCGGGCGGCGCGGCTGCACTCGTTCTTCGCCTCGGTGATCTCCGGGATCTTCGGCCAGGGCGAGGAGGAGGAGGAAGGGGAGATGGCGACACGCAGCCAGAACGTCGCTGCCGCTCCGCAGCCGCCGCAGAACAGAGGTGAGCGAAAACAGCGTGTCTCAGATCTTTGGGGCTTTGGCGGCTGCGCGGATTCGAGTTCTTGTCGTGTTCCTCGTTAGTTTCCTGTTCGGATCCTGTCCCAAGATTGGGTTTTTTTTTTTTACACGAGTTGCCTTATCTTTGGGTAGGCTTCTCTTCCCCCCAAACTTGGTACTCATCGGTTCATTGTCCAGCTCCAGCAGTTGATCTTTGTTCTTGTTCTTATTATTTCATTTACCTGCTTTTTGATTGGATTTCTGAAGAAAAGATTCCAATTTGATCCCTATTTGGTGGTGTTGTTCAGTCCGACTTCTCAAAATCGCGAAATTCTCATAGCGTCTGTCTCCTGCTCAATTTCAGGCAATGTTGCCGCTCTGGGAAAGCAGAAGGCCGTCGTGGCCGGCAGGCCCGACGCGAAGAACCGGCGAGCCCTTGGCGAGATCGGCAACGTCATGAACGTCCGCCTACCGGAAGGGTACGTGATACGACCAATCGCTTAGCCTCACGCTGTCATAATTTCTTCTGCTCTTTATCTGAAACCTTCACTTGTGTTCATGTAAACAGCAAGCCTCTGCAGCAGGCGCCGGCCGGCCGCACCGCCAACTTTGGTGCCCAACTGCTGAAGAACGCGCAGGCAAATGCTGCGGCAAACAAGGTACATCGGCCAACCAAATCCTTCTTTCATTCTTTGTCTTGATTCTTGAAGCATCTGAATCTGAACCTTACTGAAACTATTGGGTCTGCAGCAGAATGCAGTTGCACCTGCTGCCGTGGCGAGGCCTGCGCAGAGGCAGGCCAGGAAGGCGCCTGTCAAGCCCGCGCCTCCTCCGCCCGAGCATGTCATCGAGATCAGCTCTGATTCTGACCAGAGCATGAGGCAGCAGTCGGAGGGCAGCGCCAGCTCTGTCCGCAAGTGCTCGAGGAAGAAGGTCATCAACACCCTCACCTCCGTGCTCACTGCACGATCAAAGGTGGGTTATCCACTGAAAATTTCAAAAAGAAAAAAAAAATTCTGCATACCAATCACTGACAGGTTATCTTAAGTTCTTAACCTGTATTTACTCCATGCTAATGCCAGGTTGCCTGTGGAATCACTGACAAACCTCGAGAAGTGATTGAGGACATTGACAAGCTCGACGGTGACAATGAGCTGGCTGTGGTGGACTATATTGAGGATATCTACAAGTTCTACAAGGTCGCTGAGGTAACTGAGTCGCTCTCTCTGCTTGATCCTTCTTCGATGCCTACGCAAATGCTGTATGTGCTTGGTCACTGAAAGGTGCAATCTTTCCTGGCCTTGCTGCAGAACGAGTGCCGCCCGTGTGATTACATCGACACCCAGGTGGAGATCAATTCCAAGATGAGGGCCATCCTGGCAGACTGGATAATTGAAGTGCATCACAAGTTTGAGCTCATGCCAGAGACCCTATACCTCTCCATGTATGTCATCGACCGGTACCTCTCGATGCAGCAAGTGCAGCGGAGGGAGCTGCAGCTGGTAGGTGTCTCTGCCATGCTGATAGCTTGCAAGTACGAGGAGATTTGGGCCCCAGAGGTAGCAACATTTTTAGCCCCTTTGCTCTGCACTGCCCATTTCTAGCAGGGACTTGTTCTGATTGGATCTCTGTCTATGTATTTGCAGGTGAACGACTTCATCTTGATATCAGATAGTGCATACACTAGGGAACAGATTCTTGCAATGGAGAAGGGGATTCTGAATAAGCTTCAGTGGAATCTCACCGTTCCTACAGCATATGTCTTCATTATGCGCTATCTGAAGGCGGGGGCGTCTGCAGATAACAAAAGTGACAAGGAGGTAAAGAGCCATGGCTTCTGTTTGTTTCTGTTTACCATCGGATTATATTTCATTGCTAAGCAACAAGTTTGAGCGTGTACTCAAAATTTCTTTTGGTGAATGCAGATGGAGCACATGGCCTTCTTCTTCGCTGAATTGGCACTGATGCAGTACGGGCTGGTGGCATCCCTGCCTTCCAAGGTTGCTGCCTCTGCTGTCTATGCAGCCAGGCTCACCCTGAAGAAGAGCCCTCTATGGACTGACACTCTCAAGCACCACACTGGATTTACCGAGTCACAGCTATTGTAAGCACTACATGACTCGATGACTTGTTTAACTAGCATCACTGAAATTCTCCATTGAGCAGATATACTGAACTTTATTTTTCTGCGATGATTTCAGGGACTCTGCAAAGCTTCTTGTTACCTCGCACTCTACTGCCCCTGAGAGCAAGCTGAGGGTTGTGTACAAGAAGTATTCCAGTGAGCAGCTTGGAGGAGTGGCACTTCGCTCACCAGCAGTGGAACTCTGCAAATAAATGGAGATTAGCTTTGTCTCGTATTTCGTTTGCTTATTTGGTTTAGAGTGCAATGGAAGGCGAGTCTGACATTCATTAGGCGTTTGCTTGTTTTGGAGTCAAGAAAGTTTGGAATCTTGACACGCTTGCTATGACTTCTAATGGCCAGGATTTGGCCTTTATGTGATAATACACCTTGGTGTATATAAACTGTCATCTGAATCTTATCAATAACGGTTCTTGATAAGTATGAATGATGATCGAATTACATGTTTGCATACAACAATCTCGTGTCTTGAATCGATCCCATACTCCTCGAAATGTTTTAATAGCTCTGGCAACCTAAAAAAACTGGTAATCAAGTGGTACCATGGAGATATGGTTTGCATCTGTAGTCTCTTGAAGAAGGTTATAGCCACTGGTAATCAAGAAACTTGTGTCTGTGATGTTTGCCAATCGAAGGTTTACTATCATATTCTTGGTGCCTGACAGTAGCAGTTTTGAAACCTTAGATAATCCATGTAATTTTCAACTCACATATAAGATTTATAAAAATGAATTAAGTATAGAGCAAGATATGGTTATAATAGAGTAATTCGAATAAGGTTAAACAAATGATACATTAATTAGACTTTCATCGGCACATTCAAAATACTGGCGTTCATCTTGATGGGCATATCATCTCCATCAGTGAAGCCAGATTACAATGCGAAGATACACCCTTGTCGACTGCTCTATGAGAAATCTCTTTCCACTCAAGAGCGTGCCTCCTTATTGCTTTCATCTCAGCTTCTTCAGATGCCATCAGCCTCTTAACAGCCCTTGCAATCTCCTCCCTTCTGATCAGGCGATCCTTGTCTGTCGAGTCCCTCAAGTTCACTCCAATCTTCCACTCTTCCACAATTAGCCGGCCATTAATTGGTTGATCAAAGAACAATGGTAAGGTGAGCATAGGTACCCCAGCAAAGACAGCTTCCAGCGTCGAGTTCATTCCACAATGGGTCAGGAAGCCCCCGACTGAAGGGTGGCACAGAACCTTCAGCTGATCACACCATGGAAGTATCATGCCCTTGTTGGTGTTACCGACAAGTTCTCGCACTCGAGTGGATTGTTCACGAAGAATCCACAAGAATCTGACCTCACTTGTGGCAAGGCCCAAGGCGATCTCATCAAGCTGAGAGGATGACACCGAGACAAAACTGCCAAGAGAAACATATAGCACTGAGTTCTCAGGTTGACAATCCAGCCACGCGAAGTAATCTATCCGTCCAGGAGCTTCTCCATTGGACTTGGTATGCTCGTTTTCAAGGGTCATATACGGAATGCAGGGCCCAATTGGGTACACTGGGCAGGTGACTAATGATTCAAGAGAGTCGATTACACTGGCCTCAAGCTCATATATGGTGGTGAATAGGAGGCACTGTGCTTTTCTGATGCTAGAGATACATGCTAGGATATACTCCACTGTTCTCTCACTGTGAATTAAAGGCTTGAGATCAGATAACATTATTGAACTTGAAGCCAAGCTTGAGATATAGTGCTCAAGTCTCTGATCAGGGTTATCTGCTGATCAAAAGTAGATAAGATCGTAAGAGTGAATAATTTTGTAAACTGTTAGCAGTAGATGATTCAGATGCACAGAAACTTACCTCTCTCAAATGTTAGTACAAAACAAAAAAACACTAAGACTACTCAAGTTTGGTACAGAAAGTGGATTCATCTTAATAGAGAAATTAAAAAGAAGCGATACCTCTCAAGATTGGGGTGAAGTGGCGATGTGTTCTGCGATTAAACCCCGACTAGGGGATTTGTTGATTGGAGAGCCAAAATGAGAAAGACAACCATTTTGACGACTTAAAAGATTTTGTTAGCTGAATCACGTGAGCTTTGTTCCAGACTCGCAGTAATGGATTTATGTGAAAGAACACTAACAAATTGTTCTCCTATTTGACGGTGTTTCATTTACCACGCTATATTCACACCTACAACTGCCTATATTCAACCACCTTTTTGAACGAATTAAACCCAAAGCACTCAAAACACTTCGGAATGTGCGTATAAGTAACAAACAAAGCTAAGTGTCTGCGCGAGTTCATTCCGCACCTTGTATAGTGTATAGATTTCGATGATCTCACATTTTTTCCGCACCTTGTCAGCTCTGCTTCAGAAACCTTGAGACCGCCCAACACCTCTTCAAAGAATGTCCCTTTGTGCAGCAGATTTGGACTGAGGTTGGGCGTCAGATCAGGCCACGGCGCTTCCAAGACTCATCAGAGGACAGTACACTGCTTGACTGGTGGCATAGCCAAACAAGCAATGCAGAGAAAATTCAGAAAAAAGGACTACGCTCTGCTTTCCTGACGGTGCTCTGGGAAATTTGTACGGAAAGAAACAACCGCATCTTCCGAAGCACAGAGTCGACACAGCCGGCGATTGCAAGCAAGATTGTGGACGAGATGCAGCTTTGGGGAATGGCAGGCGCCAAGGGAGTGCAGAATGTAATATCGCGAGAGTAGTTCTTTTATCACCTTAATGTAGGCGGGAAGTGTTTTTCAAGTACTACACCGCACCCCCTGTACAGTGTTTTTCTAACCTCTCTATAATATAAAACCAGCTCCGCTGGGTTCTTTCAAAAAACATTTTTTCTTTACCCCTAGGGGTTGTATTTTCTCGTGCTATATTCAATGAAAAGGCACACTAATGCTATTTTTCCGTTCAGAAAAAAAAAACAAACAAACAAAGCAAGAAGTAAGTAACATTGTATTCACAGCACCGAGTAATAGCCAACATATGTCTCTCTTGGAGCCTTATCTAGTAAACAGGCAGAAATCAGATTCAGTAAATCTCCTAACTCATCAGTTCATGGATGTAACAATGTGGGTAAATCTCTAAATTGATTCGTATGTGGGTGATTCAGTAAAAAATGAGATTCAGGAGAGGGTAAGCTTGACAGTAACAGGCAATGGAAGCAATGAAGAGACCTCACCTGTTGTGGCACCGGCGACCGGCTGGTGCGGCGGTTTAGCGAGCCACGACGGGAGGCTGTCGAAGTGGTAGTAGGCGGAGAAGAACACGGCGGCCATGGGGAAGAGGGAGCAGACGGGCACGCCCCTCCGGTTGCCGACGTCCACGACCCACGGCACGTAGAAGTCGGCCACGAACGCCGCGACGGGCGCCGCTGTCTCCTCCTCCTCCTCGAGCCGGAGCCGGTCGAGCAGTCGCTCGAAGGGCGCCTCCATCCTGGCGCCGACGGCGTCGAGGAAGCCCGCGTGGTCGGCGGCGCGGCCGTTCTCGGAGGGGATGACGTTGGGGATGGCGCGCAGCCGCACGCCGGGCGGCGCGGAGGAGGAGGAGAGGAGGCCGAGCCACTCCTCGGTGACTACGAAGGTGACCGTGGCGGCGCCCCGCGCGGCGAGGAGCCGGCTCAGGTTCATCATGGCGTTCACGTGCCCGCGCCCCGGAAACGGCACCGCCACGACATGGCAGCGGCACGGCTCGTCCCCGGCGGCGGCGGCGGAGGTGGAGGCGGCCATCGCGCTCGCAATCTCTCCCCTGTTGTGGCTGCGTGCGTGCGTGCGTGCGTGTGGTTCTCGCTCTCCCCTCTCCCTTTGTGTGTGCCGGCGCCACGCTGCCCACACACGCATGCCCACATGTGCACGTGTCGATGGATATTGATACGATCATGTGTGATGGCATGATCATAATATAACATTTTGAGTAATTCTCATTTCGGATCATATTTCATTACTGATAGTTTACTTTAAAACATCTTTTAATCGACGTTCTTATTTTGGACAGGGTAGTCTTGTTTTTTCTTTTTCACTTTTGACTACCGACCCTCGTCTCAAACATATGAACGATTGTTTGAACAATCTAGAATACGTCGATTCCTACTCATCAATAAACTCTTAAATCTCACAGCTATATACAAGTTATTTCTTTTTCATGTAACAAGTTAGATGTAGATAATTAAAATTAAGGATGGTCTAAAACACCATGAAAATAAAAATACCCAATCCAAAACAAAAATATTGGTTAAGGAACTATTCAAAGCAAAACATTGATAATAAAATATTATTTCGTGACCTTGGGTAACAGATCAACAGAGGATAGGCGGAAAAGTATCATTTTTCCCGCCTATTCTAAGAACGAGATGAGTTCGAGTTGTAAAGCCCAATATATGGTATGGTATTTTACTATGAGATTAGGACTGGCTTATATAGTCCCCAAACATAAATGTGGAGTTATAATCTTAACCCCGATGGTGCACAGGAAGTTACTACAATACCCCTATGATGCTAGAAACCCACATTGATGTGGTCCTCCAGAGTTCCTGCCGCTAGTTTGTAAGTGTGGTTGGAGCGGCCCAGCGATATCTTCTCGAGAAATATTCCTCACTAGCAACGTAACCTTCAAGCTTCATTTGCCATGATCGAATAGTACATTTCTCTTGCAGTGGGCTCAAATATTTTCTTTTCCGAACACCGGTCATTTAGTATTTAACTGTCACATTAAGTTAGCCGCAAGTAAAAATCAGGTTGGTCAGTAAAAGGGTATCTGCCATAAGTAAAAGCCTCTTAGGCTGGTAATCTAAGAGAGTGTTTCGATAGAACAGGGATGATGTTTGCCTCGTACAACAGATTACCTAAAGTAAAATTTTCTCTTCCATTATTCTCCACGTGGATACTGATACACAACAAGCATTCACGCTAGTACATTTATTTACTTTTTTGGTTTAATTCACGCTGTTCTCTCACTGGAAATTAAGTCTCCCGTCGGCGAGATCTTTCACGAATCCGTTCAACGAGCGGCGCGACGAGCCACCGTCCGGTCCGTCCTGCACGGCGCCACGGCAAGCCTCGCGCAGCAGCGCGGCCCTCCTCCTCATCTCTCGGCTCTCGCCGTCGTCCGGATCCATCAGCCTCGCCGCGGCGGCACGGATCGCGTCCCTGCCGACGACGACGCCGCCGCCGTCGTCCTCCTCCCTCCTCTGCTCCGACAGGTTGACGCCGATCCTCCACTCGTCGGCCACGACGCGGGCGTCCACCACCTGATCCCAGACGACGGGGAGCGCGAGCAGCGGCACGCCGGCGAACACGGCCTCGAGCAGCGAGTTCCACCCGCAGTGGCTGAGGAAGCCGCCGACGGAGCGGTGGCACAGCACGCCCAGCTGGTCGCACCACGGCACCACCAACCCGTTGCCGCCGGCGATCCGTCGCAGGTCACCGGCGCTGGCGCTGTCCCTGGCCACCCAGAAGAACCTGACCGCGCTGTCGCGCAGCGCCACGGCGACCTCCTCCAGCTGCGACGGCCACATGGAGACGACGCTGCCGAACGAGACGTACAGCACGGAGCGCTCCGGCTGCGCGTCCAGCCAGGCACGGTGCTCCTCGTCGTCGATCTTGCCGGCGCCGCCGTCCAGCGGCATGTCCGAGATTGAAGGTCCGACTGGGTACACCGGGAACGGAACCGCCTGCGTGATTCTGTCCATGGCGCAGGGTTCGAGCTCGTAGAAGGAAGTGAAGAGGACACACTGCGCTTTACGCACGTTGACGAACGCCTCCGTTGTCAGCTTCATTGACCGTTCCCAAGACCGGAAGATCTTGACGTCAGAGAGCCTGACTGATGAGCAGCCTGGGACATATTGCTCCAAGGACTTGCGGCTTAGGTCTGCAAAGAAAAGAAGTAGAGCATATAATAAGTTATGCAATGTTAGGCCCTGTTTAGTTGCAAAGTTTTTTTTTCCAAACTTCCAACTTTCCATCGGATCAAACCTTTCATACACACGCAACTTTTCAGTCACATCGTTCCAATTTCAACCAAACTTGGAAGTTTGGTTGAAATTGGAATAATGTGACAGAAAAGTTGAAAGTTGTATCAAAAGATGCAATTGCAAATATGCATGATGATAGGAATGCTTTAGCATAAGAATTTTAAAAATGCATTGTGACTATTAGTTCCATACTTGTATCTTTTTATGACTGAAAACTGAAATATGTTTCATCCAAAAAAGGGGGAAAAGAGGAAACTTCTCATGTACTAGAATCAAATACAAATATATTGTGGAATAAATCACTCATTTTCCATTATTTTATTGATAACAAGTACTTGTAGTCACTGAAAAAGCAAAGGACTTTACTTACTCAGGACACACCGACAAAGAAATATAAAGTTTATGAGAAAGGGTTGTGCATAATAAGCTAAGGAAGGGCTCTGTGTTTGTGACCTCATTTAATACAAGTAAAAATCTCTGTTTTGGCATCACGGCAGTAGACACGTTTCAGCAAACATTCCTAAAGTTCTTTCGACTGCATCTAACTTCAACACTTATGAACCTATGAAAAAGTTAATTGATACAAAATGCATTTTGGTTTAGTTATATCCAACTTCAGAACTTATGAACCTGTGGAAAAGTTGACTGATAAAAAAAAATGCATTTTGGTTTAGTTGTCCTAGTAATCAGATTATCTACTTCTTTGGTTTCTCCGCAATTCTACATTTTAATAGTGCTGTAGGGGCAACTAATTTATCATTTATGGACAATGTAGCAGAATAATGTTTTGACAATGGTGTACTTCCCAAAATTGAGGACCTCAAAGTCAAATCCCTGTAAGTTTCAGCCCCTATCTTCATTAAAAGAAGGTGCAGTTTTCATCTTAGGCCTTGTTAGATCCAAAAAATTTTGGCAAAAAACGTCACATCAAATGTTTGGACACATACATGGGATATTAAATGGGAAAAAACCAATTGCACAGTTTGCATGTAAATTGTGAGACGAATTTTTTGAGCCTAATTACGCCATGATTTGACAATGTGATGCTACAGTAAACATTTGTTAATGACAGATTAATTAGGCTTAATAAATTCGTCTCGCAGTTTATAGGTGGAATCTGTAATTTGTTTTTGTTACTAGTCTCCGTTTAATACTTCGAATGTGTATATGCATACTTCAAAAAATTTACGCCCAAAGAACTAAACACACTCTTAGGAAAGAACAGTAGGACACTATTTCAATTAGAATTCACGAAGTAGCAGAATTCACTGACTGTGCATTTATAATTTGATTTCAGAAACATTAAAACATAAGATGATTCAGTTAGAAATTGTCTAGACCAAACTGAATATTGAAACAGTATGTTTGGATCATCCAAAGTTCTTGGAAGCATACGATATCTTAATTTGTTTCAACAAGAACATACCCCTATATTTGAAATCCCCAATATTTGTCATTTTCAAGAGTAGAAAAGGTGCTACACACTCGAAATTTGACGTAGATGTCTAGAAATTATTGTGGAAATCTCACATGAAGTCGGAGACATCGTGGAAACTACAGTAGTGTTGATTTAAAGAGAGAAAATTCAAAGCGAGAAAATCGGAGACAAGGACTGAAGCCAAATACCTTGCTCGCCCTCCCGGTCATCCACCGGCGGCCAGAGGTGGATGTTGTAGAGCGCCCAGAAGAACGTGGCCGCCATGGTCCACAGCGAGCACACCGGGATCCCGCGCGCCGCGCCGGCCGGCACGCCCCACGCCAGGTAGGTGTCGGCCACGATCGCGTCGGGCCTCCGCTCCAGCCGGTCGAGCAGCTGCTCGACGGCCACCCCCATCTTGGCGTCCACGGCCTCGAAGAAGCCGGCGGGGTCGGCGCCGCGGCCGTGCTCGGAGGGGATGACGTTGGGGATGGTGGCGAGGCGGACGCGGCCCGCCGGCGGCAGCGTGGCGGGCACACCGGCGGAGGCCAGCAGCCCGTGCCACTCCTCCGTGACGACGACGGTGACGGTGAGCTCGCCGTCCGCGGCCGCGAGGAGGCGGCACGCGGCCAGCATCGGGTTGATGTGGCCGCGGCCCGGGTACGGCACCGCGACCACGTGCCGGGACACGGCTGTCGACGCCATGCTAATCTCTATCGGACTATCTCTGCTGGAATTTGTGTCTTCTTGGTGGAACTAATATAAAGGCAGCACAGATTGGAGAGCTTTTGATACACTGTAGTACTTGATAAGTGATACATAGACCCAGCTGTGAATTGGGAGGTCAGAGCAAACAAAGGAGAACAAATTGGCTTGTCATTTCTTCTGCTCCCACCGTCGTAGCAACCGACGATCCAATCCTATATGTCCAAATTCGCAGTGGTTGCTACATATTGAGATGAAGAGAGTACAAACTAGTTATATAAGGTTTACTTTGTTGAGCCCAAATATCGATAGTTATGTGAGGTTCACTTTGTGGGACCCAAATATTAGTGGGGTGGTGCTTGTGACTCTGTCTAGCGAACATTTCTTGCTTCCATATCCCAAATTACATGCTATTCCGGAGTTGAACTCCATTGTTGCTCTTCTAGTGAACAATTAACAGCAAAATTATAGCCCTTAAGGGTTTATTCGGTTTGGAGGGGATCCGGTTTGGAGGGGATCGAAGAGTATTAGAGGGGATGTGGAATAAATCTCCTTCAATCTCTTCTTTATGGGGATTAACCGAACAAGGTCTAACGATGTTATATTTCCCTACAGTACTGCCATGGTGTCACCTTATTAAAACTGATTATATTTAATCTTAACATAGTATTTAATCTTATATTGAAAAAATAATCCCTGTGCGTTAGGTGCACTGTACACTTAGTTCTCACATAAACAGATAAGCTATAACAGTACTGCCATGGTGTCACCTTACCAATTACAGTACTAGCTCTCTACTATGGTTTCCAAGCTTCACAAGCAACGCCGCTTCTCTTGTAAAAATGCCTCTAGTTTACTTCAGATAAGTTACCCAAGCTCAAGGCTGGGAAGTACTCATCAACAAAATCACCACAAACAGATCGTACTAGCAGACCTGCAGCGATCATCATACTTTAAATGAATCCACTATGGTCTTGAGAACTTTCTCCGACGACTGCCACTGCTTGTCGCTGGCACTTGCGACGAAGAGCACCACCGTGTTCCCCTTGGCAGTCGCCTTCGCCAGATTGTGAGAACCGGTCAGTGCCAATGGAGTCTCTAGCACATAGCTGTAGTACTGCACCTCAGAAGAATTGCCCATGCATCAGAGTTCAGAAACATTTAGCACTCCAAAGACTGTTGATTCAAATAGCTGCACAAGTAGTGTGCAAGTTGTTAGGGAAGTGATCAAGTGAAGCTTACAGTTTGGCCATCGATCTTCTCCACGGAGGTATCGACGAGCTCGTCGGAGTCGAAGGTGTTCCCGGTGACAAAAGGCCCCAGAGAGGCGATTAGCCTCTCAGGGCTACCGATGTCCTCAATCGTGGCGTTCGGCCTGTTCGTCAGGCGGATCAACGGCGAGGCCACCACCTGCACCTTGCCCTGCTTGTCGTCCTCGAATTTCACCTCCACCCACGGCTCGGCGCACTTGGGCTGGCAGTAGTTGCCGGACAGAATGTTGGCCACTCGCGTTTGCTTCCAGGTGGGTGGCAGAATGAACTCGTAAGGTTGCACATTGCCTGGAATTGGTGAACAATCATATTGAGTGGATTCAACACATCTCAGTATGTCACACAACTAAATCAATTTCTCCAGGCAGAGACGACAGCTAACCAAATCAGAAGCCAGAAGCCAAGCAAGCACTTACCAGCTCGAAGTGCAGGAGTGTCCTTGGAAGTAGCCCGGAAGAACACGAACCCGGGGTTGGACGCCGCCGGCGGCAGGACCGCGCCGACCTCGACCTCACGCGCCTCGGCCGGCAAAGGCGCCTTCAGGAACGCCGCGCCCAATGCCGCCCCCAGCAACAGCTCCCTCCTGTGGCTGACAACCGCCGCGAGGGGCGCCGGCCGCGGGGCAGCGCCACCAGCGGCAACGACAGCGGCGGCGCTGTTGTCGTGGGTGGCAGAAGAGCGCCCCGAGCAGGAGGTGGACGGCCGGAGTGCACGGAGTAGCGGGGAGAAGACGGAAGAGGAGGCCATGAATGAGGACGCGTCCGCGCGGGCTCCGTGTCGTGTCTGGTCCGCGCGCGCGAGCGCCACCGGCTCTTTATCCAGACGCCGAGCGCGATATTTTTCTCTCTCGCAGGAAACGAGACCGCAACGACCCGTAGACGTACGTACGCGCGGCTCAGCCGTGTCCTCTTGTCAAACTGGTTGGGATAAGATAAAGGAGCGGAGCCCGGCAAAGCCGAGCGGCAGCAGAGAGCACAGCTCGGCAACACCATGGCGCCGGCAGCGCTAGCCGCTCCCATCGCGTCCATTTCCCCCAGCTCCGCCGGGAGGGTCACCGCCGCCGCCGCCGGCCTCCGCTCTGCCAGGATGGCCAGCTCACCTGTAGCCCAGCCCATTGGTATTGATTGCTCCTTCTTCCTTTTCTTGCCCTCGCCTCTCGGCCTTCTTCACGGATGTCACCTGTCTAACCTTTGTTGCTGTTCTTGCAAAGGCGAGGCAGTTGTGTTACGGCCCAACCAGATGTTCAGATCAGTGCTGCGACAGCGGAGGCGTCTGGTGGTCCGAAGCAGCAGCTCAGATGAAACCAATTCCACCACCGAAGAGAAGGTATATCCACACGACCACACGCCTGATGAATTGAAAAAAAATTAAAGCCTGAACCCAACTGTGACGACCATGTTTTGTTCACAGACGCCATTCGGATACACGAGGAAGGACGTGCTGCTCATCGGCGTCGGCGTGACACTCTTAGGCTACGGCCTCAAATACGGGCTGGAGGTGACGTCTGTTCTTTCTCTCTTCTCCATCACTACTCCAGTTCGCTGCTTCTTGGCTTTGACTTCATCATCAAGTACACTTCACTGACGAACATGTATGCCTTCCCTTTCACATCCTTGCCACAACTGAACACAGCTGGTCGGAGTCGATCCCTTGCAAGCAGGAAACGCCGTCCAGCTGATCATCGTGCTCGGGATGACGGTGGGGTGGATCTCGACGTACATGTTCAGGGTGGCCAACAAGGACATGACCTACGCCCAGCAGCTCAGGGACTATGAGAAGCAAGTCATGGAGGTTTGACACTTGTTCATTCTAGTATGCAGTGTTTGTTACTACCAAGAGTATGAGTGACTGACCTGAAGTTTCTTGCTCTTTGTTCCAGAAACGATTGGAGAGCTTGACAGAGGCTGAACTGCAAGTTCTGCTCGAGCAAGTAGAGGAAGAGAAGCAGCGGCTGACTCCAGTGAGGGATCAGGGTGTTACCTTCACTAGGAAAACGGAGGATCAGGCGAATGCCAGCTAGAACACCTTGATTCTGTAATTAGCTAGCTCTCCTGCACTGTTAGATAGCTTGAATTAAGAACTAGCGGTGGATGTGGATCGTACGTCATACGAATGACCAGCTAATGTCTTCCATGTTTGTGCATCATTCTGAAATAAAAATAGTTGGTAATTCTGCTTATCCAGATTTCCAGACACGTTTATCTTTGGATAACCCAATATTTGAACAAAATAAACATCTGAATACATAAATTGCTTTCACAACAAACATTTCGGCGTGCTCCACCACTCTTACACTCTAAACTTGCTAATAAAACAGTAATGAATAGATAAACTACTTGTGCAGTAGAACAATATCATTATTTAAATCTCATCAGAACTGCAGCGAAAATTTTTTTGTTAGAAATAACGAGATAAATGCATTAACATATGAATTTCCATGTTATACTTCAATTGCTTTGGTATTGTGTCGGGCAAAGAGGAATGTGCAGAAAAATCCAGAGGGTTCTGAGCAACCGTAGGAAGTATAACATGGAAATTATTCATCACTTTATCTACTCCCAATACCAGGGAAAAAAAAGAACTAGATGTAATGGTATATGTATCTTACGAATTTGATTGAATGAATCTGAATCTTTAGCTGACGTTGATCCTCAGCAGGGAGTGATCAAATCCCAGCATAGCATGATTCACTAATAAAAATGCCTCTTATGGTTAGTACAAGGTAAAAACAACTGTAGGATGCATGTAGTACTACATTAAGGTTAACGAAATTTCCTTGGAAACGATCTTGACTGAATAATTCTTTGTTTAAGGAAAAGAAATAGGGTACAATACTTGCACTGTTGCCTATTAAGCAGCACGGAGTATATGCACTTCACCTGAAGGTTAACAAAATTTCCTTGCAAGTGGTTTGTACTGAATCGCCATTTATGTTAAGGAAGAAAAATATCTATACAATACTTGTCTATAGAAACACTGAGCTCATGAAGATTAACAAAGGAAATGCGATCTTTACTGAATCACCCTTCTTTAAGGAAAAGATATATACATAGTGCTATCAAGTAACACTGAGCTACATGTATTACAACTGAAGGTTAACAAAATTTCCTTGGAAGGGATTTTGACTGAATCGCCTTTGGTGAAGGAAAAGATTTACACATTACTAGTGCTCTTGAGCAGCAGTGGGTTGCATGTGCTACATTGAACATCAACAAAAAAAAAAATCTCCTAAGCAATGTTTGACTGAATCATCTAGTGATGTAGAGAGAAAATATCAGATAAGAGTAGAAGATTCCCTTGGATACATACCATGTTCTTCGACACCTTAATCTCAGAGAGTAGATCAGACGAGCACTTCGACCTTCTTCTTCCCCTTGAGGAAGACCTCCCTGTCAACAAGCTCACGCATGTATCCATCAAACTCCACAGGAACTCCACCATTGAGCCTCTTCATCTCCAGAAACCACTTGCTATCTCTCGCCCAGAGTTCCTCAAACGCATCTAGGTAATGCACACTGCTGTACTTTGCCTTCAGCGCATCCAACAAGACCACGTTGATGCCCTCTCCCGCAACATACACCTGCCTTCCTCCTCCATTGAGTCTCTCCTCAATCCTTCTTCTGAGGTTCCCATCATTGCCACCAACATGAACAGAGTCAAAATCTACTTGCATCCTTGATATGATACCATCAACAATGTCCATCAAGCTTGGCGCCGTGCGTATTGCTCCCTGCGGTGGACGGAGGACATGCTCAGCTTCGCCCTCGCACACATTGTACCAATAATTCCCTGGCTCCACGTCCCCAAATTTCCTAACGATCAGGGGATCCCTCGACTTGGAGAACTTGGTGGGCGCAACCCTGCTGTCCTCGATGATGCGGACTCCAAGCTGACCCTGTGCTCCCCACTTGTCCCAATCCTCCCAGAACCGCTTGTGTTCAACGATCCCGACCACGGATTGCAGGTGCTCAATGTCAATATAGAAGGCGAGGCGCTTGCCCTCCTCGGGCATGCCCCCGGCGTAGGCGGCGGCGAGACAGACGCTGAGATCGAGGACGAGGGTGCGGTTGAGGTAGCGGGCCTCGGCGATGGAGCAGAGGAGACTACGAAGATAATGCGGCATGGGCTTGCACCGGTCGCCGCCGCCAAGGTAAGAGAGGTACTTGCCCGCGGCGAACTGGGAGCGCGAGAGCGCGGGTGGGGGCGGCGGGGCGGTGGCGTTGGTCCCGCCGCGGCGGGGCTTGCGGGCGAGGGGGCCGGAGTGGTATTCCCCGATGGAGGTAACGGAGTAGGCGCAGGTGACGGGGTCGCGGGCGACGGAGAAGCGGCGGTAGTCCTTGTAGTTGGCGGAGGCGGTGGATCGGGCGCGCCAGGCCATGTCGCAGGAGGACGACGGCGGGTCGCCGGGGACGGGGCGGCCGAAGCGGTTGAAGTGGACGTCGGGGAAGGCGTCGATGGCGCGGCGCATCATGAGGTGGAAGAGCTGCGGGTCGGCGCAGTCGAGCGTGGAGGTGGTGTCGCAGCTGGCCTGATCCTGCTGCTCCAGGTGGGACGTGGTGGGCGTCAAGGCGGCGGTGGGAGGGGAGAGGGAGATGGGGAGGTTGCGGAGGGTGAGGAAGAGGAAGGCGACGAGCAAGAGGGCGGCGGCGGCGTGGGCGGAGGAGGTGATGAGGGCGCCCCGCCCCAGCAACGGCCGGCTCGGGTCCATCCGGCGACGGCGACGGCCGACGGCGATGAGATCTGGTGGCTGATTGTGTAATAAAGCCCCGTCTGCAGGCGGCGGACGGTGGTGAACTTGTTTCTAGGAAGACGACGAACTGTTCCTCTTAATGGGCCTAACATGAGTGGGCCTAAGACGAAGGCCCATGATTTGGCCCAAGAATCGCATCTCGTCGTGGATAAGACGATAAAGCAACATTGTGTGGGGATAGCCATAGCCCTGCACCGCACCTCGACTCCCCAAACATGGCGCTCGCCCTCGTCTCGCCAATGGCGGCTCTCTCACTCCACTCCGGGAGGATCTCAGCGGCGGCTATCGGCGGCGGCCTCCGCTCTCGCAGGGCATCCCCGATGGGCGCCGCCGCCACCCCGTTCCTCCGGAGCTCCTTCGTCTCCTCCTCCTCCACGTCATCCGCCTCCGCCTCCCCCGCCGCGCTCTCTGCCGCGGTCTCGGCGTCGCTGACCTTCACCTCTGCCTCCTCATTTGCTGGTGAGAATGTGTACTTTACTCGTTCCTGATTCGCTTCGTTCTGTTGCTACCATTTGGGTTGGGGAACTAGATGGAGGAGAGAGTTGCCTGCAAAGAGAAAGGGAGGAATGAACTTTTGTGCTGCTGGTTTCGGCTTTAAGTACTGTACAATGGAGTGTTTATACTGTCAGATAGGTAGCGTGTACAGTTAATCAGTGCTTAATGTCAGAAGATAACTAAACTAAACTAGCGATTTTAATGCAATTGATATATTTGAAAGTTCTGATGGTATTCTGGCAATTTCCTGAGAAATCTTAAATTCAAACTCTGCCGTACTTGTTAGCTGCTGTACGCAGCTTGTTATAATCTGCAATGTCTGATCCTAAAGCCCACGCATTCTTATAGTTAACCATGTGCTAGAGAATTTTGCTTAAGATGTGGATTCCGATTAAGATTAAAAAAAATCACTTGTTTACACATCCAGTTTTTTAGTGTAAGAACGTGTATATATATTCATAATTCAGTGATTAGTTCTAGATGGTTCCATGTTAGGAAACCTACACGGCTGAAAGTTTCTTTTCTTCCTCCATGTACTGTGATACTGATATTGTGATTTCCAGTAGTGCCAGATGGACTGTAGATTGTAGTACATTCTTGCGACAGAATCATGAAAACATCACAAAAACTCAGGAAACTCCACTTTTTGGAGCGAGCGCATGAGCTTAATTTAGTAAACTCATTATGAAATATATCATCTAACATAATTATACTACGAACTAACGAAATCACTGAATCAAGAACGTTTAACTGGACAACTCAACTTTTTAAACAGTTCAGTTACAATTAATAGCCTTGCCACCTAAAGCAAAACCAAAATGCTCCTAAAACAAGCCAATAACGTTAGATTAAAGGAACTATTGCAATGATATTATCCTTTTGGAAAATGAACTGTACTTTACATACTAGAGTTTTTTTCCAAATGATCTTAGAGAACAAAAACACAAACTAAGGGCAATCAAATAGCCGGTTTCTGTGCTGTACTGTTGTATTTAGCAAATCCATGTTCTTATGTATCAAACCATATTTGTTCCAACCTACAAATGATTTCAGTATCCTAATATGTTACATATTTCAGGTTCATCTTTGGGAATTGAATTCAGCTACAACAGAGTTACAACAGGAAGATCCCGGATTCTGCAGATTAGGGCTGGAAAGGCTGCTCTGTGCATGACCAAGAGAAATAGATCTAGGAAGTCGCTTGCCCGTACACATGGTTTTCGCAGACGGATGAGGACTACTGCCGGAAGAAAGGTCCTGAAGCGCAGACGCGCCAAAGGAAGAAGGGTTCTCTGCACAAAGACGAACTCCCCCACTGGGAAGAAACGAATGTTCTGATTGAATCGCATTCTAAGTCGCTCTTTGTCACAATTGTAAGTGTATTTTTTTATCCCACGTTCTCGGTTATACTCAACCATAACAATTGGTGCAAATCCTTCACCCGGTGTCCGGTTAATGTGTGAAGTACATTATCAACACAAATTCAAGTTAGCCTTTTTGCTTGTGCAGTATTTAGTAGTTGTTTGCTGTGGGAATATGTTCTCCTTGATCTGCATTGCCATGGTTTTCCTCTGATCTATCTTGACTGCATTCTGAGCATAGATTTTGCCAAAGGGCCTAAATGCTAACTTGAGCAGTTGCTCAAATAAACTCATCAATTTTTCTATTCTGTAGTAGAACGTCCCTTTTATTTTCTGATACAGTCCAGTGAATTTTAATATTCAGATCATCTCATCATAGTCACTCCATGCTCCACTGTGTAACACAATTTATCCACCTCCTCTGTGCCAATCTCTTTGGTACACACTTATTTGTAAAACAACCTGATTGCCCATCCAATCCTCTGTCACCTTATAATTTTGCTACTATCAGGCGAAAAAATGGATAATATCCAGAACTCAACCTGGAATAAATGAAAGGCAACAAGTAGCAAAGAGAACATTTACATTCTAACAAACTGAATCCCTCCTCTTCTTCACTCGCATCGGCAAGCCGCCTTCCATCCTCAAGGTCACCGAGAACACAAGCCCTGGCCGTCCCTCGCCGCCGACGAACCTGAAGCTGAACCTCTCGAACACGCACGCCGCGATGGACTTCATCTGTATGTATGCCATCTCCTTGCCGAGGCACATCCTCGGCCCGCCGTGGAACACCGGGTACTTGAACGGGCTCTCCGGCCGGAACACGCCGTCCTCGTCGAGCCACCGCTCCGGCCTGAACTCCTCGCAGTCCGCGCCCCATAACTCCTCCAAGCGCGCCATGGCGTACGCGCTGTAGGTGACCTGCCATCCTTTGCCGACGAACGTGCCGTCCGGCAAGACGTCGTCGTTCTGGCAGCAGTGCGAGTCCATGGCCACGGGCGGGTACAGCCGCATCGCCTCCGTGATGGCCGCGTGCAGGTAGTGCATCTCGCGCAGCTCGTCAAAGCTGAACGCCGCCGCGTCCGTGCTCCCGCTCGACGCGCGCACCGCGCGGATCTCGCGCGCGATCCTGTCCTCCACGTCCGGCTGGCCGGACACCAGCCAGAAGAACCAGGTCAGCGCCGACGACGTCGTGTCGCGCCCGGCGAGGACGAAGTTGGTGCCACGTCGCGGAGGCTCTCGTCGCTGTGCTTGCCGGTCGCGGCGAAGCGCGACAGGAAGTCGTCCTTGCGCGCCAGCCCCGCCGCGCCCCTCTCCCTCCGCTCGCGGACGATCCTGTCGGCGTAGCCATGGATCGTGGCGAGCGCCTCCCGCATCCGCCTCTCCGGCTCCAAGTCGAGCAGCCTCTTGGCGCGCCATGCCCACTCGACCGGCGACATGAACCGCGCCATGAGGATGTTCTGCGCGTCGTTGAAGGCGCGCAGGAACTCGGTCCGCGCGTTCGTCCCCATCCCCTCCTCGGTGAGGCACGCCGGGTCCTCGTCGAAGGCGACGCAGCAGACGTTGTCGAACGCGAAGCGCTCGAGCACGTCCTGCTCGTCCAGCGTCCGGCCGTCGCGCTCCGCCCGCGTGAGCAGCGGCAGCAGCCTATCGACGACCTCGGACCTGACGGTGTCGACCACGAAGTTCCTCAGCGAGCGCTTGTTGAACTCGTAGCTGGCGGCCTTCCGCTGCCACAGCCACTGGTCGCCGTCGGAGTTGAAGATGCCGTGGCCGAGGAAGTCCTCCATGACTGACACCACGTACTCCCCCTTGGAGTAGTTCTGGAAGTTGGTCTTGACGATGTGTTCGACGTTGGCCGGGTTGCCGGTGATGGCGCCGGCGATGAGGCCGAAGCCCTTGAAGTTGAAGGACATGGTGTGCGTGGGGCAGCGCGCCACGACGCCGGCCGACCACTCGAGGAGGCGGTGCTGGTTCCTGACGAAGTGTGGCAGTATGCCGACGATCGGGTAGGCCTTGAGGCCGTCGGCGCGAGGCTGCTTCCTGGTGCTGCCATGGCGCAGGCAGAGGAAACAGAGCAAAGGAAACAGCAAGAGGAGGAGCAGGGGAACGGATGAAGTCAACGAGAGCTCTGTGCCCATGTCGAATTGGTGATTTTGGATTGGACGATGGAGATGCCAGCCTCGTGAAGTCCGCAGAGGCGCAGATTATGGAGTGATGTTGCTTATTTGATTAAGTTAGTCGATTTGTTGAGTGCGAGAATTTTCAGAATATGCCATCGAATTCGCACTACTTTCAGAATATGCCATCCAATTCATGCTACTTTCAGAATACGCCATCGGAGCACGAATTTCCTTTGTTCCGTGCCACTCTGTCTCTTCCGTTCGTAGCACCGTCGTCTTCTCCGCCCGGCACCGCCGTCGTCAGTCCGCCACCGCCCGCGCCGACACCCGTCCGTCGCCGGCATCGTCCATCCTCGTTGGCGTCCATCGTCGTCGTCCACGGCATGGCGTGGGCGCGGAGGGAGGCGAGCGCGACGCGAGTACTAGCAGCGGGGCGAGCGCGGCCGCGAGTGCTAGCAGCGGCTGCGGCGGCGGGCGAAGCTGACTGTCTGCGTCTGCGTCTACTACCGCCCGGGACTGGACCTCGTGTGCGCGCCTTGTGAATTTTGAGGCACCGTTCGTTCCAGGGTGTTTGGGGAGATTGAGTCTCGTTTTCCGCGCGCACGCTTTTCAAACTACTAAACGGTGCGTTTTTTGCAAAAAATTTCTATAGGAAAGTTGCTTTAAAAAACCATATTAATCCATTTTTGAAATTTAAAATAGTTAATACTTAATTAATCATGAGCTAATGGCTCACCTCGTTTTGCGTATCTTCTCAATCTCCTCAATCCCCTTCCCCTCAAACACACCCTGAGAGTAGAGGGCGGCCGGTAAAAACTCCTTGTATGTTGTTGCTGCTGCACGTACTTGGTCCAGATGATGAGTGTGAATTGGCAAGGACGGAAGGGAACGGAATGGGTAGGTAGTAGTTGGATACTTGGATTGTTCAGAGGAGGACGTCGGACTTGGCGGGGAGTCGCTTGTAGAAGTTGAAGGGGACGGATGGTGAGCGCGGCCGCGAGTGTTAGCAGCGGCTGCGGCGGCGGGCGAAGCGGCGGCTGCGGCTGCGGGCGAAGCGGCTGCGGCTGCAGAATGGGGCGGCGGCGGGGAAGGGGTGGGGGAGAAGCCCCTTGTGGATGGTGGGGCGAGGCGGAATGCGGCAGCTGTGTACAATGGGGGGGCGGCGTCCGTGGTGGTGGGGAGGAAGATGAGGAGGACGAGGACAGGGCACCCTCGCCGGCATGCTCCAGCCGGAGGACGCGATGCGCGGGCGGTGGAGGACGACGATGGCGGTGACGGCGAACGGACAACGCCGTGGCTGACACGGGCGCGCGCGGCGCGGGCGGTGGACAACGACGATGCCGACGACTGACGCCGGCGCGGGCGGTGGCGGACTCCTTCCCTCCGCGCCCACCGAGCCGTGGACGACGATGACGACGACGGACGCCGACGAGGATGGACGATGCCGGTGATGGACGGACGCCGGCGCGGCTGACACGGGCACCGGCGGCGAACGGCGCCGGGCGGAGAAGACGACGGAGCTATGGACGGAAGAGACGGAGTGGCACGGAACGAAGGAAATTCGTGCTCCGATGGCGTATTCTGAAAGTAGCACGAATTGGGTGGCATATCCTGAAAGTAGTGCGAATTCGATGGCATATTCTGAAAATTCTCAACTGTTGATGCTTAATCAACGGTCCAACATTGAACTGGGTTACTACTTTGGCCTCAATAAGTTAGACGAAAAATGCTTCGTGTTCTTATCCAAATATCTCAGTCACCTCCTCCACCACACATTCCCTCTTCTCAAAGTCTCTCTCTTTTCAACGCCTCTACACAGGGGGTTGCAAGCCAAGGCGAGGCATCGTCGCTGGTGTCGACACCGGAGCAAGGCGGCACGTGATAGGGAGGAGGTACTCGACCTCGCTGGCGGCCACATGACGGCAGCGGGGCAAGGCTGCGCGTGGTAGGGAGGAGGCGATGGACCTCGTCGGCAGCCACACGACAGCGGCGGGGCAAGGCGACGCATGGGAGGGAGGAGGCGATGGACCTCGTCAGCGGCCACATGGCGGGGTAGACAACATAGGATTGAGGAGGAGGTGCTGGACCTCGCCAGCGATCACACGGCGGCAGAGTGCAGATAACGCAGGATTGGGGAAGAGGCGCTGGACCTCGCCGACGGCCACACAACAACGATGGTGATGTGGCAGAGGTGCTAGATTTGGCTGTCGGTGAGGACTGGACAATGCGACTGGTCTTGGGCGAGGTCGCCAACCTTGTGCCACTATTCTTCTCCCACAAGCATCAATTTCTTGATTCTAGCAGCTAGCCGTAGAAGAAGACAAAGATGGGTTCATTTTATTGGAGTTTTAGTGATGTTGCAGCATATTGTTTTATCTTGTTGCATTTTATTGTATTAAGGTGTTTAATTTTGTTTGGATTTGGTGTTGCATTTTACTGATTCTTAGTGTTGCAAGCAACCTATTTCAGATGTTGCATTTGATTGAAACAATTTTGTTCAAGCAATGAAACATTTTTCCTCGATTGATGAAACATCTGAAACATTTTCATCGAAACATTTTTCGTGGAGTGGTGCAACATGTGAAACACTTTGTGATAATATAGTGCAACACCGTCCGATCTTTTGTAATAGATCGGACGTCTAATTTGTAGCAGCCTCCAAGTTGAGAGTGCTTCTAGATCTAAATTTCTACACACTTTTGTGGACTTCTATGTTTATGAACTGTTTTTCTTTCTTTTTTTTTTGCAAACCCGGCTAGAGATGCCGACCAATTTTATTAAGGATTAGGAGATAGTTTCGTATGGTAAAGCAACAAACATAGTTGTGCATATCATCTACTATCCTTTACAACACACCGAAGAAAAGAGGAGAAGATGAACAATGTTAAATGTGGCAAAGAATAATGGTCATGAAATTAGTTTGAGCTAATTCAAATCCCATGAGAAGCAACGGTCTACTTCTTATCTACTTCCTCCACCTCAGAATAGGTTAATCTATTACGAATGTGATATATTCGTCAGATTTACAGAACTA